GTTTTCACCATGTTGGCCAGGATGGTCTCAAACTCCTGGCCTCAAGTGATCTGCCTGCCTTGGCCTCCCCAAGTGCTGGGATTATAGGCATGAGCCACTGAGCCCAGCTTCAGTTCAATAAATGTTTAGGAAGGATATTTGTACTTAGGATTAACATCAGTTATTTGGTTGTCTTCCTTATCGCTGGTTCTGTTCCAAGTCGGTCCCCACATACCATATTTAACAATCTCCATTTGAATGGATTTGATTAAGTGAAAATTTCATCTTTTGAAGAATTCTGAGAGTTCCCTAGCAAATAGTATTAACAATATTTATGAGTGTTTCTGGATATTTAAAAAATACAGTTTAAATCTATTTTAATTTGGATAAGAAACAATTCTACTCACTGCCTACCTATTACACAATTCTCCCCGTAGTGATAAAATAAACTCCAGAAAGATTTAGGTCTATAAATGACAACTTGGATAAGTTGTTGCTGCTTTAAAAAACAAATAGGGGTTGGAGGGAAGAGGAACCAAGCTCTTACTCTTTTCCTTCCTTTCCTCACACTGAATACATTGATAGGTTATGGCTTAGAGGCTACTACTCAAAGTCCCACAGATTTTCCTTTGTCTAAATAATGGAAGTTGATTTACCCTCTGAAATACAAAGTCAGCACTAGCCTTAAACTACCAGATACTCACCGAGTTAGGGTAGTTCAAGTAGCAGATCTGACAAGGCATATCCTGTGCTGATGACCTTGTATTCATCTGGCGTGTTCGAGACTTTTTACTTGGATTAATTACATGACACTCAGCAAAGAGCTTCTCCAGGTTTCCATCAAAGTACCTGCATTATTTAAACAGAAAGGATAAGAGCCCAGCAACTGCACACTGTTAGAGCTCTCCAAAAACCTGATTTTCTATAGGGAAAAGCAAGAAGCTGAATTAAAATAAAACAAGATAATAACCTTTTTACTCTGAGGAAATAAAAGCTATATGGTACAAATTATAGCAAATTAAGGTGTGTGTATACATGTGCATATATATAATATTGCAAGCAGCAAAAAAAGCCGCAAAAATTCAGTCTACTCTCATATATATGAGTATATACATGTGTGTGTGTATGTGTGTGTGTGGGTGTGTGTATACATATATGTAAACTAGTAGACTGAGTTTTTGCTATTTTTTTTTCTAAATTTTGTTTTTAAATAACTGAATCTTGGGAAGTTAAGCTATTAGTATTTTAACAGTACTGCAACTAAAACTTAAGGATTAAATATTACTCTATGAAGAGTAATATTTTACATGGGTAGGCTATATTTTATACAAATGAACTCATGTTCTTAATAATTTTAGTTAAAGCAATTTAAACATATTAGCTTTAGTAAACAATTTATCTTACCACACAAATCATCTTAAAAATACAATTATTACATGTGTCTCATTCTACATAATAGACTTGCTTCCTAAACTTTCTTTTGAAATATTTTTAATTTACTGAGAAAGGAGAAGAAATATAACAAAAAAGTGTAACTTCAAACATTTTATATAAAATAAATTACATATTAGCTTTTCATAAAATATGTATCTAAATACAGAGGTGTTCCATATCTAATACATCAAGAGTATATGCCAAGTACTACCTAGAGTTTTAACTAAATAGCAAACCTCTGGACAGAAGATAGTAGAGCAGACCTTAAGCGGGAGTGGGCGGGGAAGATAGTGGCAAATACTTAGCACAATGTTTCCAATTAATTCAGATAAGACATGTTCCCTGGCCTCCTGAAATAGCTTACTATTCAAAAGGGAAAAGCAACAGATTCGAAAAAATTTAAAAAAAACTTTTCAATTTGCAAAACCAATATAACCAGCAAAAATAATGCGTAATCTGGTCAATTACTTTTTAGGCTGTAAAGCCCAGGTTACAATAACTACAATGCTCTTTATATACAAACAGGAGATTTTCAATTTTAAAAGTAATTCAATACTCAAAAGGAATTTCCAATATTTTTAATTAAGGTCTTATTTAGGCTTTGTGTCAAAGGTTACTATATCTTACTGTACCTCCAGAAAAATCATTCAAATGAAACAAACCACATCACTTCTCCTAAGACTAATAAATATCTTTTTTATAGATACTTTGACTAACAGCATATTTCAATGAAATCATATTTTCAATTGAAATGCCAACACATTACAAAAAGGAGGATTATCAGAAAGTTAAAGTTGTCAGGAACTCATATAAATAGAAAATTAATGTCTCTGATGATTCAGATAATCAGAATATATCTACAGCAGAAAATCAAATGCTTTCCTACAATTTTGAGACACAGTCCCACTCTGTCGCCCAGACTGGAGTGCAGTGGTGCTATCTCGGCTCACTGCAAACTTTGCCACGGAGGTTCAAGCGATTCTCCTGCTTCAGCCGCCCGAGTAGCTGGAATTGCAGGCCTGCCACCATGCCCCGCTAATTTTTGTTTTAGTACCCAGGCGCGGTGGCTCACACCTGCAATCCCAGCACTTTGGGATGCGGAGGCCGGTGGATCACTTGAGGTCAGCAGTTCAAGACCAGCCTGGCCAACATGGTGAAACCCCATCTCTACTAAAAATACAAAAAAATTAGCCAGGCACAGTGGCGGGTACCTGTAATCCCAGCTACCCGGGAGGCCAAGGCATGAGAACTGCTTGAACCCAGAAGGCAGTGAGCCAAGATGGTGCCACTGCACTGCACTCTAGCCTGGGTGACAGAGCGAGACTGTCTCAATTTTTTAAAAAAAGATAATATAAAATACCAACTTTTACCTGAAAAACTGAAAGCATAAGAGACTAACACTAAATATTAATTCATAAACCAGCTAAACACCTTGTTTTAAAAAATATTCACGCTCAGAAGACAAACTTCTGTCATCCAAAATTTGACAACATGGAACTAATGACTCTCACACTCTGGTTAACATTCTGGACAGTCTTCTATGAGTATAGAGCCACACGGACATGTGTCTCTAATTTCATATAAATAACACCCTAGTCCACATTTCTAACCTGCTTTCTTCACTAGACAATATCTAACAGACATCTTTGTCATTAAATGTCTACATTTTTCATTTTTGCACAATATTCCACTATAGTTATTTACTATAATATATCTAACCAATGTTACTCTGAAGGACATTTAAATGTGCCACATAAAAACAATCCTTGATTAAAATCTTAGCCTATCAGATAGGGAAAAATATCTAGACTTAACTTGTATTTCTTTATTAGTGAAGGTGAACACATTTTTCTGTGGTGATCTTATTCCTTATTAAGTTCAGTGTGTAAAGAGGAAGAGTAAATCTTTGTTTCATGGATTGCTTTCTTTCTCCCATTTCTTTCTTGTCTTTCAGCCTTCTTTAATGGTGTTTAATTATCACTTTAAAATTTTTATGTAGGCACATTTATCATGCTACCCCACTCTGATTTCTGCAAGTTTATACTACACTTTAAAAGACTTCTATACCCAAAGATTTTTTTTTAATGGAAATTCATTAATGATTTAGATCTCACCTTTAAACTGTTTCTATTAAAAACTGTTATTTTTGCGTACTAAGGAGTGCGGGATTCCATTTCATTTCAATCCATTTATTGAAGGTTGTCTCATCTATTGGAAACACTTTTTCCCACCTTTAGGTTCCAGCTTACGCCTGACTTCCTCAAATAAGTGATCTCTGACACCTCCTCACTTCCAGCCCCATTAGATAAGGTTCCCTTGAATTACATCCCATTGTTACTCCTAGTCCTTTGCAGCACTTAACAACATTACTAAGTGTAATCACTCTTTATGTTTGCTCTGCTAGAAGGTAAACCCCAGGAGGACTACTTTATTATTCCTGGAGCCCTAACGTCTACAGGCATGTTACAAGCACTTAGTTTCTTCTTAAAGAGTAACTGACTACTCTAACTCTCCGCACTGACCTGTTTACCATATACCAAAATTTCCTATTTAGACGACTTTATTCCTGGACTCTCCATTCTAGTCCACTAATTTGTCTGCTCTTGTAGTTGATAAATTCTCAATATTTGACAAAGATCCCTTTATCATTCTTCTCTTACAGAATTTTCTCTGCTATTCTTCCATATTTGTTTTTTCAAGTTAAGTATAATCATTGTTAATTTTTTTTAATCCTGTGGAACTTTTACTACAATTGTATCAAGTAAACTGAAAGAACTGACTCTATAATATTGTCTTCCTAGCCAAGAACAAAGTATCTTTCAGTTTACTTCAATTCCAATTCCTATTCAGTCCTCTCAACAGTTTTATAACTTTTTTTCACTACGTAAATCCTGCACATATTCCAGTGACTTTATTCTCAGGTATTTCAAGTTCTTTTTGTTGGGAGAAAAGCTGCGTTGGGAGAGAAGCTAAGGCAGGGTTTGCATGTCTGCTAGACTTGCTGGCTCCTTACTTCTAGCACTCCCATGATCTCAAGTAGCCACATGTTTCAAAGAAAATGCTAAACCCTCACAGCTGTAAGCTCATTCGCTTGCTACACCGCTTCCTTTCAACCCCCACATCCTCACCACCTGTTTCTTTGTTGAATCACTAATAAACAGCGTGGGCTCCCAGAGCTCCAGGGTTCGCAGCCTCCATACTAGCCTTGGCTCCCTGGTGCCACTTTCTCTGGTCTTTTTTCATTCCTTTGACTCTGCTAGACGTGGTCGCCCCAACAGTCTGGTGTTGGGTCTAATCAACCCAATACTTTTACTGTCAATCTGAATTCCTCTGCTTTAGATAGCTTTAGTACTGGAGTTTGTAACATTTTTTAAAATAGCATATATTGGAGTTAATAGCTTCTTTAAAAAAAATAGAGGGTCAGACTATGTTGCCCAGGCTGGTGCACAGCAGCTTTTCACAGATGCAATAATAGCATACAGCCTTGAACTTTTGGCCTCAAGTGATCCTCCTGCCTCAGCTTCTTGAGTATGTGGGACTACAGGTGCACACCACTACATGTGACTTGGAGTTTATAGCTTTTTTTGATCCATTCTAGAAGCCACCAAATGAACTTTCAAATACTGCTAAGTATTTTAAATGAAATATGAGTGGGAAGCTAAGAATCCACTCATATTCTTGAGGGTAGTAGGCCTAGAAATCTTCTTTTATCAAAGTTTCATGTATTTGTTCTGATCTGTATTTACTATATGGTCCGTTCACCCCTGACTCCACAATCTTTATTTGGAAATTACTAAAATCTAATTTAGTTTTACTAGGAGTTGCCTGTGTAATTAATACTTAAATACATTTCTTATGAAAGTTAAATAATACATTGATCATCCTTTTGGTTTTGGTTGCAGCTTCCTAAAGCTCTTCCCAGTTGATTATAG